GGTTAACTTTTACGAGTTAACCAATACCACATTTTTACAGCATCGGTCCCGATACCCGATACCAGTATCGGTATCGGTGCATCCCTATCATAAAGACATACAGTCTATGTTACATATCATGTTAATCACACTATATGCTCAAAGTAGCCAAATTCCAGTTACGTAGGGCCAAATAACAAATTCCAGTAATCACCGATTTCATTTTCATCGGCGGTTTAGGAAAAGGTCCACCCTGCTGCTCTCTCTTCTGCACCTCTCTCATGCACTGTCCTTCAAACTCATCCATGTACTCCTTACATGTTCACCTGTCTCCCTCTCATTGAACTCTAACCTTCATTCTCTCTTCTCTCCAGAACATATCTGCTCTTTTCCAGACTCTCGTCCATGCACTCCCTCCCCTCACTGCAGATTACATCTGGAAACATCAGTAGTTTCTGCTGGAAAGGTAGTTGGCAGTGGTTCCTGGAGTTTGCACCAAAAACCTCTCAGTAAATGCTTTGATTGCTAGCAGATTGCTACTGACTACCTGCTGGCTGAGCAGGAGTATAAGGTGTGGCACAAACCAGAAAAGTCGTGCCTCAGCCACAGCCGATGTGTTTCAAAAGACACAACATTTAGTTTAAATCTTCACTTCAGCTAAACTACAGTGCTACAACACGCTGCTGACAAATGAATCACAAACTTTTTGCCAGCTGCTTGGGGATGCTTCTTTTCTAATGACTGGTCGACTGGTCCACTGACTAACAGCAACCTCTAGCGACTGAATGGGCGACGCTCATCAGCTTCATTCACTCGTTGCTGTTGCCACCACGAGCACCTCTACAGCCCTCTCCTCCCTGGTCACGTGTCTGCACCCTAACAAACGCTGCTTATACCAAACTGTTCTGTGAGCGTGACTGGGGCGCCCCAGCTTTTAGTACTATTAGTAACCGTGGCTCTCACAATTCTCTGACAATCATTTGGTAGTTTTATGCAAACAATAACATAAAAGCATCAGGAGTAGAGTGGAGAGTGGAGAAGACATGTTCATGTCTCCCAGCAGCTGGTGCCTCTAGCAAGATGAGTAATCCTGATCCAGGGTTTCACATCTCTGCATCTCAAGTCTCACCTCGTCAGTATATTCCTTAACTGGACTTAGAGCTACTTTCTGGATCTGTTACTGGGAGTAACTAGTGGAGCACTGCAAACATCTGTATTATTTTATCTGGTGCCTCATTTCATTATTTCTTCATACCTTGAGAAAGAAGATGTAGTCCTCAGACAGAGCCAGCTGACTCAGTGCTGAGCTCCTGCGTTTGAGCTCAGCTATTTCTTCTTCCAGCTCTCTCAGCACGCTCTGAGCTCTGCGCTCTGCCGCTCGAAGAGTCATCTCTATCACCTGGGTGCCACAGAAAGGGTGTGTTCACGAATATGCCGACAAATGTCTCGTCTGCTTTGAGACAAAAATAGTGTGATTGTCTCTGTAGTTGGTCACCTCCAAGACTTCAGCTTGGCAGTGCTCCACGCTGGAGATCAGCTTGGAAAAAGCACAAACGGCTCCATCCGTCTCTCTCTCTGCAGTATCCTGATTAAAGCACGAACAGCAACCAGCGGAAAAGTAGAAAAGAAGAATTCAGAGACAAACATAAATGCAAAATGTGACAAACGAAAGTGTATCTATTCTGTCATTTTCTTTTCTGATTTCATTAAACATGAGCAGCTCGGCCACATGAATACAAACAGTTTTTAAGTGTCAGCTAAAGATCTCTGCTCTCTGATTGGCTCCTGGAACAATGTAGCATGCTATCTTAACAAAACAAACAAACAAAGTGCACGTGTGAGAGAATAAACACATACGATCCTGCAGTCGTGTTGACACCACATCACTCACCTTTATCTCTCGCAGCGAGCTGTGCACCTCCTCCACTTTTCTCTCTCTCTCACTGATGAGCTCCTTCAGCTCCGCCTCAGTAAGGCCTAACTGAGCCTGTATGAGACAGAAAACACACACTGTGTCTAATAACCAATGCATTAAACATGCTCTGCTGCAGGTGCATGTTTATATACAATTAGATGCACAGTTTGTTTGTCAGTGACAGTTGACTTTGATTTAAAATCAACTGACAAACACTGAATATATGATTGAAGTGCAGATCTTCAGCTTTAATTCAGGGCTTTCAGGTATCTGTGTTACTGCTGATAGACGTCGTGTGAATTCTGATGAGTGAGAGCGAACATGATTGGATAATGGGCCAAAGCAAAAGCAACCGAAGAGTTTATCAAGATAAAGAAATGGGATATTATAACAAAGTCAGTCAGCCTAACTCAACTCTATAGAGCCGCTTATTGAATACAAACTGAAGGCTCAGAGACACACGAACAAGCAGCAGCTGGAGATGGTTACAGTTCAGGGTTCGAAACATCAGGGAGCCGTTTTTCATTCAAATATTAAATACAAGTCTTATATTTAAATGTGTGTGTATTAATATTCAACTTTTAAAAATTAAAATGTTGAAAATACTCTCGTTCACTTTGAGCCTCTGAAAAAGCGAGACTGTGTAGAAATGCTTCTAATTCCTGAACAGTGAGTGCAGGAGTTCTGCTAAAGCTGCTGAATCAAAGCTGAAAGCCTGCAGTCACATCTGGATTCATCCACTGTGGTTCTGCACGTGCACAAGCCTAGAGACACAGTTCGAACAGACTGTGCATGATAGCACAGCTGTGTGGTCCAGACCAGAGTTTAGCAGTGAGGATGTTCACAGCTCCACCTGATACTCTGACCTTTGGACATGCCAGTCCAAACTGGAATTCATCGTTCCAGTTTGGACTGGCATGAAAATTAGAATCAGGATATGACAGCATATCAGGAGCCTGTGAGGGAAAAACCTCACCAACCACCACATGCACAAACCTTCTTCAAGTGCCACTCTCGTTTGGCGGGGGTGATGTTGTGTCCTAGGTGATCCGACGTCCCCGCACACGTGCTGCACACGCACACGTTGTCAGTGCGACAGAAGAATTCCAGACCTCTCAGGTGGATGGGGCACGGCGGCAGATCCGAGTCACTGCACATGTCAACATTTGAATAAAGCCGTAACATGTAAGTGACTGATTAACCCGTCGTCTGGTTTCAGGAACATATTATTCAGTTGTTTACAGTTTGACACGTGTATGGTTACATTTAGCTGTTTAGGTTTCCTTACTCTGCTTTTCTTATTTCCTGTCATACGTACACTGATACTACATGCAAACACTCCTCTGAACAATCTGTTTCACACAGTTTTTTCCCGTCCTACATGTTCATGATGTCATACTGACGAGATATCTGTGAACACAGCACAACCACTCACCTCCTGTTCAAACCTCCTGTTTGCAATGAGACACTTGTTTTAGGCAGTGGGTGACCGGAGCAACGCCCCGTATAAAACAAAAGATGCTTTTGAGCTGTGAGTAATGCAGAAATACTCCAGAAACGTGCACCATACAAATGTTTCTGTTGTAAACATCAGTACTAAAACCTTGTGTCACTTGAGGACTAATACCATTAGTAATGGTTAAGAAGTCTCAGCACTCCTTCCAAGAGGACAACCATTACTAGAGTCTGCGTCTGTGGTTTTAAAAGTGAAGACGCCTCGTGGACGCCAGGCCGGATGTCTTCACAAACCTAAAGCCCACTCGCCTTCTCTTCAATCATTTGAAACTACTGAGTTGGTTTAATAACATGTATATTTCAATAAGTGATGAAACATTTGAACTTTTTTCTTTTTTTCCAAAAGAAAAGAGTGGAGGGGCTCAGGTCGTCCTAACGCAAACGACGACTCGTGCTATTCATGGTAACAAAGGGAATCTCTGTGGCTTTGGACGGTTTATCAAACAGGCATAAACAGAAAATGTGCTTAATACTGGAAAGTAGTTTTGTTGTAAAGTTCAACAATCAGATGATCCCCTATGAGCAGGAAGTCGGCATGGTGAGGACTCGCTGAGAGCAGGGGTCGGAGACTGTCTGAAGCATTTTAGCTCAAACTACCAAACAGCCAC